ATAATAATAATAATAAAAAAAAGCTTTTTAGGAACATCTTGTTAAAATAATTCAATTATTTTTTTATTGTTTACCGGTATTTTATTAATCTTTCATCCTTAATAATACGTTTACACAAGTGCAGATGAATGAATTTCAGGTATTATACCGTTGGCATGGAATCGAGCCCTGGCAGAACTACCTGTGTTCCACGACCGCTCGGCCATTAGTGGGGCCCAGACGGCTAGCGATATAAGCATATTATTATTAATTTACTGAATTATGTAGCAAGAGTATTTTTATATAAAAATGATAAGATTAAAAAGAAATCGTAATCGTGTGTTGGAAGGTAGATTTCAATTTAACAGCTAAAACAGTTTTAAGCAAAGCAATTAGGATAGACCTAATTATTTAAGAATAGGTTACTTAGAAATTGAAGATAACCAATAATCATACATTTTTATATTCGAAATAAGCTGTTCGAATGGGAATGTCCAACGTAGAAAAGAAATTACTATGAGATTATATCCTTATAAATTAACGACACGTGGAGACTTACGTATTTATACAATAAGGAAAAGACAATTATTCAAAGACATAGCTATGTATTTATTTATTTATTTTACTATTTAAAGATATAGTTGTGCATTTATTTCCTCATGAATTAACGATATGCGAAGACTTATATATTTATACAATAAAGAAAAGACAATTATTCAAAGACATAACTGTGTACTTATTTCACTGGCTTACGAGGCTGCCAAAAATATTTGCCTCAATTAAAACTACTTATTATTTTGGTAGGATGCGATATCCTTGAACTGAAAACAATAAACTCCAGGAAGAAGTTCTCTTCCAAGCAGCCATGTTATTAAAAAATTAAATAAATATTTAAGTTAGAAGTGTGTTTAATACCTTTAATTACTTTGCTGAATGCCAATACTCCAAGAACTAGTTCTAAAGGAGGCTGCACTTAGGATAAATACTAGAGAACTTCATACTCTTTATTGCAGTGACTGTCAAGGTAAGTGGAGGATAGGTGCATGATAACGCAATGAGGAAGACAGTACAAATATCTGGATATTCACCTAATGATGTTTTTAACATCAATATATTTCTTGGCTACATCTTCTTATAACTCTTTTTTTACATACTTCTATGCTGTATTATGATCATAATAATCGTTGTACGTGTGTGCTGCAGTCTGTCCATGACTGCTATATTGGCCAAAACAGAGTCTATTTAATAATAAAGTAAGTTCTTCAATTCTTGATTCATTCTTAACCATTAAGGTTCGAAAAAAAGTTCAAATTGATCTGTCGTCAATCTCGGCCATACTTAGACATGTTTTTGTGCTTTAAGACTTCTTGCTTTAAAATGATCAACACATTTCAATAAAGACTCTGATGGCATTTTCTATTCTTTAATAAACTAAAGGTAACATGAAGTTATAGATACATATACATACTTACATAAAATTCATATTTATCGTCTCATGCTCAAGGCACGTCCGCAAACTGAATTAGCGTCCACAAACAAAATACATCGACTTCTGAATCAAAACTAACTGTTGGCACGGACATCTCCGCGCTTCCTCCTAGGTGTCCTGGCTAACTTTCTGTATCATCCGAACAACCTGTGGCCCAAAATGACGTTGTGTAGTCCTTTACAACGCTAGTCAAAAAGGATTAAAAGTGCTGGACGGCTCTTCTATTGACTGTTCCCTTGCCTATGTTTGTGGAGACATTCCGTTGTCTATATTTCTGACACGACATTTTTTGGATTTGCAAGATTTTCTCTTACAATCTTGGCTTAACATCATCTTGTGTCAAAACCTCTGATACTTAAATGGACTGGTTGTTGATTTTGCTTCAGTTCCAGAAGATACGATTTTAGCCTTTTCTCGAGATCCTTTCGCTTATAAATTGTCTATGTTCTGTATAGTCATTAGGTTATTTTGAAGCAGAAGACAGGAAAAATGAGCAGTGCCCTCAGCGGGACTCGAACCTGGATCTCTCGAATACGCGCCGGGTGTGATATGGTTACACCACGAAGGCATGCAGAAAAGGGGAAGAAAATACCTTATATATACACCCTTCTTAAAAGGCGACTATGGATTAGGAGACCCATTCGCCAAATCCTGGTGGTGAAGAGTCATCATCCACCACCTTTTTAGTTCAGGAGCCATTTTAGAGTCAGTAGGTAGTTTTGAGGCAGAAGATATGAAAATTGAGCAATGCCCTCGCCGGGACTCGACCCTGGACCTCTGGAATACGCGCCGAGTATGCTACCGTTACACCACGAAGGCATGCAGAAAGGTGGGAGAAAATACCTCATAGTTCGTAACGTCTAATGAACTATTCTTTTTTAAAATTAAGTTAAACTTTTCCGTGGTAGTGTAAAGCAGTCGCCATCCTGCAGTACCATTGTAAGATATCCGGGCTTACTACAATCGTCGTACAGGTAGGTAAGTTGTATAGGATCTTAAATTTAGCTGGGTTGCAAAATATGCTTTAGAATTCTTTTTATTTTCACCGTTTATAAGTTAAATACTATAATGACTAACATCATCCTCGGGTTGTTGTCATGTAACAATTTTTGTGGAAAATTATGATTGTTTTTAGATGGAAAATTAATAAATATTGCATAAAATGCTTTCAATGAAGGATCAAAGAGTTTCAATGAAGCTTTCTTAGACGAACTTATTTCGAACTATATACGAACAATAATAATAATAAATGAAATAATATTTTAGCATACGACTGTAAAATAAAAATTACAAAAGCATAAGAAAAAAAAAATATGAACGAAGAACGAATAGTAATAATAACAAATAAATGAAATAACATTTTTGCTTAAGATTAGGGAAAGAGAAATACAAGATCATAAGGAAAAAAAGGAAAAACATGGACGAAAAACAGCAGAAGCAAAACGTCCAAAAGTACGATAGTTTTGGTAAAATAAATGACGTGCAGCAACCTGATAAATATTTTTGGGTCTGAGGCAGTTACTTAGAACTCAAGGATAGGTTGTCGAAGCATCAAATCAGAAAGGAATGATATCGCCTCATATAGCCAGACCTTTGCTTTGGAGAAGTTCGTCGGGAGTGGCAAAACCTATTTGTTTTTGGCCATCTGCTTTTTATAATCACCGAGTACATTGCCTCTCACGGTGGACCGGGTAAAAGCCCACCAAACGAAAATGCACACAATAGAATTCCTAAAAATAAATCCAGTCTGATATTGCGTTCGCGATAAATACCTACACATATGAAAGCCCGCAGTGATATGAGCCCACATTGATAAAAGCTCCCCTGGATAAAAGGACACATGATTTTTATCAATATAAAATGCATTTATGATTGTTATTATACTAAACAGAATATTTTAGTGTGATTTTTGATGTCTCAGATTAAGTCTGTTTACTTAATTTACCGCTATTTTTAGTCCAAAGGGGCTTTGTCCCTGAGGGACTATTGTTTTCGTTTCACGATTTTCCGTCGAATCACTCTGAATGTTTGTTTCACTTTTCAAACGGTTGCCACCAAGCATTATCACGCCCTGTATTATATTTGAAGAAATTAAATTATGAAGAAGATGCATATATGTATGTATGTTTCTCGCATTGTGATAAAACAACGGCACCTAGAGCCATAAAATTTTGAATGACGCAATCCTACAGCGAATATGGGCCCAAATTTGAAATTTGAAATTAGTTTTATTATCGATTTCATATTTTGTAAACCTTTAACGAATTCTTGATTAACAGACTCAAGGATTTCAAAGCGAGCAATGGGCAACATTGTACAGAAAAGACATTTTTATCTCCAGCGCGTGAGACTGTGTATCGGAAATTCTAGATAATTTCAATTTAAAATTATTTTGCGATATTGCTGTTGAACTGAATTTTATGGTTTAAGTGTGTAGAACGCGATATTTAATAAATAAAGGTAACACACAAAATGTTAAAAAAAAAAAAAAAAAAAAAAAAAAAAAGCCCCTTTGGACGTAATTTTAAAATCTGAAACCTTAAAGATTTTCTTTTTTTCTTTTTTTTTTTTTTAATTTATTATTTTTATTTATTTGTTTATTTAGTGTAATGTGAAAACGAAAAATATTATTTTGAAAGTATCATTGTGAGTTTTTATCTATGTGCGCTTTAATCCATGTGGATATTTGTCACATGGGCAATTATCACAGTGTGGTTATTTTTGTAGGCTTTTGTCGCGTGCACATTCGTCTAGTGGCCTTTTAAGAGGGGGACCGCCTATCGCATACGTCAGAAGAGAAGATTGTCCAAACCTTAATGCGCAGTCCGAAACCTCGCTCTAGAATTCGCACTAACAATTACGCTCTGCTTTACCACTAGCAAGGTTTGCCTGAATACTTCAGGATGTTGCAGAAATAATAAAAGACAAGAAAATTTAAATTTAGAAATCGTCAAGTATTGCAGGAATACTCCATTTAGTATCCTGCAGAAATAGTAAAGGCAATAGAATTAAAATTTTTAACTCGTCAAATTTTTAAGCAATTATCATCAGCGCCTCAATAAAATCATAAATTTACGAAACATTTGTTTAGAAAAATACTCATTTAAAGGCTCGGTAAGCCCATATAGCTTTAGAGAAAATCGTGTTAGTTACGAATTTGCACAATACCATTCATCTTATAGAATACTCACTTGTCTTTCTAACATGAAGTGAAACCCCGGAAAATAATGCAGCAAATAGTATATGAAAATGAGAATAACAAAAGGTGCATATTCATGATTTTGGCATAATACCAAGGATGTATAAAGTGTACTGTCAAAATGTTCTTTCCATGCAGGTGGAAACTATGAAAAACGGAGGTAGTTAAGTGATTCATACGTGAAGAACTTCACAGATCCTACAGTTCAGAGAACTGAAGTGAATAATCCAATTTTTAAGCTACCCTTACTCATACTCGAGCTGCTGTTATGACGTCAACAGAACAAAAGACTGGCTGCTTTTTATTGGTTTGGAAAAAATAATGCTTGTTCATTGCGCAGCTGTTTCTGGATTTATGCGTATCGCCCCGGATTTATGCAAATTCTGTGAGAAAACCTGATTCGCCAATTGTTTTGTTATTTATTATGCACTAAAGGGGAAGACGTATATTCGATTTGGTTAATGTAGTGTAGAAGGAGGTTTTGTAATAGTCTTTTAAAAAAATCTTCTGTGATATTTTATGGCGGACGAGAAGGTAGCTGAAGAATCAAAAGGTGATTCGAATGCCGTCAACGTGTTCACGCATTCCTCAACAGGTTTTCCAGGTAAGAACTTGTTTTTTTGTTTTAAGTTTAGTGAAGAAAATCTACATTCGAATATCCTGAGCCGTAAAAATTTGATTTCTCTAGACTCTTAAAACTTTAAATGTTTCTGTATATGAAATGTTCTCTCTAGTGGCCGAGCGATCAAGACCACTGAATACTAGTAGTTCGGTCTGCTTTGGCTGAAAACCCAGGTGAATGAGCTGGTTGCATGGTTACTTTTCATGGGTTTTCCCATTGTAACATGAATACAAGTTTCCACCATAAAGGCATCTTTCCTTTCAGGCAGATAGTCCTTATAGCTTTGCCATATTCAAATGGCTTAACCTAAACTGAATGTGAAATGAATTATTCGTAAGAAAAAGCTCCGAGATAATTCACTATCGATAAAATATAATTCTCACTCTCATGGTTAACGCAATTTATGCTATAAGAAAGATATAATTAATCGCCTTTGCTCATGTTAAGTAAACTAAATTGCTTCTGCTTGCGAAGTTTAAAGTCAAAATGTATAGTAAATGAAACTAATTAATAGTATGCAAAGCATGTAGAAATTTTGGTTTACTTCTGGTATACGGTACACACGCGATTTGGCGACATCGTGATCAGAAATATAGGAGTGACTTTAGTGTTCATGTCAATTTTGAAAGTCGCGCCAAGGCCGTACCATATACTATGATTTTACCGAAATTTTCCATTAGGTTTTCAAAACATATGCACATTTTTAGTGTTTCAGAAAAAAGCTCGTTTATTTTAAGACTAAATTTATTTTGCTGAATAGTTTAGTGGTGTTTTTTTTTTTTTTTTTTTTTTTTTTTGTGTATATCCATATGGCAAATTCAATTGTAACTTTACGTTGGGTGTAGTTTTAAAAGTAAGTCTTGTTTATTAAATAGAAGATTAAAAGCTTCTTATGACAATAGTGTGAAATAATAGTTCTCTTTAAATTTTAATATTTTATACAGGAAAAAACTGCTCCGTAGCTGAAAGCTTTCAGCAAAATTTAACAACCTTAAGCCGAGGGGTTCAGTCAGTTTAATATCAAGTAACTGAAATAAGCTGTTTATTTCGTATATTCAACTACTTGATTAATTTAGTAACGACCTCTACCCTTATCTTTAAGCATACTTTAATTTAAATGCTTAGTGTTCCATTGAATTCAGATGAATATTACGGGTTCTTGGTGGATGAATTTTTGTTATCGAGTTAATATGAATCGCAAAACTCGTCTGTAGCCGTAAAAAGTTTGAAATAACTCTGCTATAATAAAACTTAAACAAATTTTCACTTGAAAGGGCTCTCCTATGACTAAATCTGAAGAAATTTTCATAAGATTAAAATTTAAGTATTAAAGGAGAATTAAATGCTGCATCAGTTTTAAGTTGGCACACGTAATTAACCTGTAACAATTACCTGACCAGAAAGACTACAAAAATTGCTAATTTCCTATTTTACTTGCCCACAATGCAAGTTTTCAACTGTTTTATAACACTTTAGTATATTTAATCGTATGAGAGAAGTGAAAATTTCATTCTTTGCATTAAGTGAAAAATTACTTTTGAAATGAGCATGCCTTAAAGTTGGCAGGGTATTCGTCAAGGTTTAAATTAACTGTCATGTGTTCTACAATTTTTCCCTCCTAGCCAGTAAAGATAAAAGAATAATTCTCAGTTTCTCGTTGTTTGCAATGTTAACCTTAGATCGCTGAACTTCCGTTAAAAAATTTACGGCTCCACTTGGCGACGTAGTGAGATTACCTCTTTGCAAAGTAATAAACGGTGCAAATTTTTTAACTTTTTGATATTGACTATTAAACATTCAATGCGGATTAATGAAAAATACTTCTTGCTATCGATTAAGTCACCTTTGTGTATTAAGCTGATAAATGAATTATAGTGTGACTAAACGGTTTTAACTACTAATATTCTTGGACCTTGTTTATTCCTTTAACCGTAAAATATGAAAGCTAGATGAAAAATTTTAAGTGTTAGAATAAATTATAGTTTATACCAGCAGCTCTCAACCTTTTGACTAACGCGAACCATATAAACAAAAATTGAAAAACTTTAGTACCACCACTACATTTTACAATTATTTTTCAGTTTCTGAACAGAAATGTTAAAGTATATTTTGCCATTTGCACAACCTGATGGCATATTTGTATTAAATATGCACACTTGAAAATATTATACGAAAAATTGGTTACCATTTTAATTACCGAAATTTAAGTTATAAATACTTTAATTCTAAAATATATTGTGTGTGGGCCAATTTAAGAGAGGTCAGTTTCTTTAGGTTTGGTCGTATTTCGCTTGGCTTTAACCGTAAATTAGGACCCACTTTTTTAATCTTGTTGTGCATTTTTTCAAATATAACACGAATAGAAATCCTTGTCACCACAAGTATACGTTGTGCAAAAAGGAAACAGAAATTTGATAGCTTTATTTGAAATGCCTTTAAATTTTTTTTCAGTTCAGCTTAGAGTTAATAAGTGTTATTTTTGAAATCTTCAGTTGGATTCCCTTTACAGAAAATTTCTATCAATTTTTCTTCACTTAATTTTTGATTGTAGTAGTTAAAAATACTTTGTTTCTTTGCGTACTACCAGGTTTATACCATTAGTTTCATCCTGGTAAGAGCACTAAATTCTCGAAAAACCTTTTCTCTGGATTGAATGTCGGCAAATGTTTTGTTTTTACTCTTCAGGAAACTGATATATGCTCTTTCGAGAGTTATTTTACAATAGCCATCTAAACCTAAACACTTTCAGGATAAATTCGCGCATTTGGAAACTTGCCAGAAAGTTCGGAGGGACATGCAAATTGTTACCCCATTTTTCTGTTTGCAAGACAATTATCTAAATTTATTTCCGCGTGATAAATGAAATCCACCGTTGCTTCCATCGGTTTCAATGTCGTTGTCCGTTTGCTGTATCTGTTAGATATTTCGATAGTGTCGGTATAATAAATATAGCTTAGCTTTAAGATCTTTTCTTAGCGAGGAGTTTATCAATTAACATCAAAATTGCCATGATATTAGTGTAGATGTGATGCATTTGTAACAAATCATTGAAAGTAACTAATCACGTGAATTAATTCCAAGAAATGTTTTTAAACTTTAAATTCTTTACACCATTGTGAAGTAGGTATTACTACCGTTGTAATCTGTATTTTTGTTTTTTACTTTTATTTTAACCTTAGAACATTAAACAGCTTTAAGAAATGTATTTATTGTAAATTGCACGAGATTTCCTGACAACATTGAAAGTTGCATAAAGCAGGAAAGTTCTCTTAAGAAAATGTTAATTTCTAATTAACTTTGAACTTGCATTACGATCTTTTATACATATTGGAAATTTCCGTTAATTTGCGAAGTGTAAAAGCCTGTAGACAATAGTTAAGAGACTTAGAGAAAAAAAAAAAAAAAAAAAAACTTGCTTGTTAAATGGAAAGAAAAGTTTTCTTGTAACAAGTTTTATAAGATGAGAAAAACTATTTTAGTCTAACACTTACAGCTTATGGAGTATTTTTGTATTTAGATACTTTAATTGCTTTAACATTGAAAACCAAGTCTCTGTAGGGTGAAGCTTTCATGTTCTTTTGTGGTGTTTCGAAGCATATTCATGATACGAAATTTCTTTCTAAATTTCGTAGAGTTTAGAGTTGTTCGGTACTTTCGTATTTTGAAGTTGACCGTGAAAGTTGGCGTATATCCTGTCAACACTGAGTCGACCATTCTAATGGAAGTTCGAAGATTTTTCTTTATTTAATCAACAAGTGCATGTAGAAGTGGGCGACAGCAGGATTTCATAATTGGTTGTAAATGCATAGTTCCGCCGCACGAACAGTGTAGTTGTCTCACTTTTGTGGGAGTGGTTCGAAGGTCTCCTAGCCCAGTTTCCCTACTACAAAACCCCTTCAAGCCGACTTTTCGGCTCATCGTTTGTTTTGAGTGGCCATCGGCGCATATAATCCACATCTTCTCCGGGATTGGAACTCTGACATTGGTACATCAGTTAAAGTCACTAACCGCTGTGCCAGCCGGGCGGCAATAAGACTCAAGTTACGAATATGGCACTTGAAAAATTAAATAACTAGTTTTGTTTTTGACAAAATTCATTGGAACTAGCGTCCGTCATTCCGAGGTTAAAAAATGCAAATTCAGTTAAATACGGATCTATCAGCGGCCCAGTAATAAAATCACTGAACATTTATCAATGAACAGTCCATGTATGAATGAATGACTAGAGTTCGATTCCAAGCAAACGGGCTGCTTGCTCTGGCATTTTCAGTTTTCTCAGTTTGTAACGAAAATAAGAGCCAATTTCTCTTAGGCCAGTGGTGCCCAACCTAGTGCTCGCCGATCGTTTTGCATGTGCTCGGCACCCGATTAGGTTCTATGAATAAAGAATATTTTTAAAATAACCACTCATTTATAATTCTTAAAATATGGTGTAGTCATAAGAGATGTCTTGCAAGACGTTATAAAAAAATTGATTGTTGACTGATGAACTTGATAGCGGACATGGAATCTTATTACTTCATTCCGATGTTAGATGGCTCAGCAGCGGAAAAGTACTGCAAAGATTTGTAGAGCTTCTTTCGCCAATACAAAAGCAGTTTTGGGGAATCCGGAAACGAAAGTTATAAGAATTGGACGATAATAATTGGTTATCCGATCTGTATTTTCTCACGGATATAATAGTCAAACTGAACGAAATTCTCCAGGGAAAAAGACAAAACCCTTTTTCGATTGACTGGGACTGTAACCGTTTTTCAGGTAGTTAAATTTGTGGATAAATCAGATGAAAGAAAAAAAATTTCACCCATTTTCAGAATTTATCAAGCCATATTAATAACCACAAGGCAATTGAAACAAATACTCGGAAAACCTAAATGTACTGAAACATAATTTTGAACTCTGCTTCTGATTTCCATAAAGTTCAATTAATATTATTAATCTCGAACTTAGCTCTTATCTTCCTGAAGATAAGAGCTACAAAAGCAGAGTTAGAAATGTTTGTGGTACTATTAAATTATTGGCGACAAATTTCACTACTCAGGGACATCATCTAAAACGGTTGATAGCAAAATACGTAAGCACCCTTTGATTAAGGTGTGGAACGGTTTTGCTTTATATACTGATGTTTACTTAATGCTGTTTACCTTACTTTATTGCAAGTGTGTATATTAAGAAACTGCTGTTTTTCTCTACAGCAAAAATTTTAGTTTCCGTAAACACGCATTGGTGTACCTAAAGGGTAAATTTTGCAGTATTATGATGGATAACTGAACCATATACGGAATAATTTTAATAGCGTATGTTCAGAAATTGACCTTTCTCGCTGAAGCATTTTAAATATGCTTCAGCTTTTGCGAAACTAAGTACACATTTCGAGGGCATGGAACGTTTCGAAACCTTCACTGTTAGGTTCAGAGAAATATTGGCGTTTAAAATTTAAAAATCTTTATAAACAGTTATCAATCTAATCGAATCACTAGGGAAGAGATGAAACCTATTTTAAAAATTTATATTTAAGATCTTTTTTATTGCAGGCATTCCAGAAATTTTTAAATGCTTCATTGAATTGCTATCCATCGAATCTTTGTGCTACACTCAAGCGACCGATAGAGCGTGTTTAACGTTTATAAATGACTCGCGTACTACATGTTAAGATTATAGCGAATGCCGTTTTAACGGACTTGGGGAAAAAAGAAATGGTATGGAAAACACAATTAATACTCCTAGTTTTTATTTTAAATATGTCTTTAAAGTGAATTTGCTATTCTAGTACCATTTTAGCCACTTAAATGGATGTTTTAGCATGTAAATTCGAAGCTATATAAATTAGCACTCCTGAATAATATCGCTCAACACCGATGGCTCATTTAGAGTTTGAATTCCAACAAACGCTATAGCTGCATTAATGTCTGGTTTTCCGTATGTGTAAAATGAAAACGAGATTAAACTCCTTCATGAAGGATAGGCCCACCAGCGGCTGAGCGAAAGTCTCTGAACACTGGCAGTTCGGTCGGGGTTTCAAATCCCGGCGAATGGGTTGCCTGCATGGGCGTTTTTGTGGTTTTCCCCGTGCGTTAACGCGAATACGAGAGTTTATCATTACATTTCGTTCATATTACAACTCGGAATGCATATAAATTTATATCATTTGAAGAATTATCTAATCGTTGCCACATGTTCTATTCAAACCCTATAATAAATCTAGAACGATGTATAAAAGAAATGAAGCAAACAAAACAAAGTTTTTCAGACTATTCATTATTTCTCATTCAATTAATTCAGTTCTCATTTATTCTGTCCTTATACGTGTCACGCAAAAACATCATTAAATTGCATTCGATAGAGGTCAAAATGGATATTTTCGTTGAAATATGCTGCCTGAAACTTTTCGCGATTACAATACTTCCAAAAGCACACTTGATCTCCTAATAAATATTTTGTCAAATTTCGAAGTTGGACTTCTCACTTTGCCCTCTCATTTAAAGCTATCTATTCTATTTCGTTGTTATCTCGGTGGTATACAATTAAAGCACATGGACGTTCAGTTCTGAATTCTCAATATTTAACGATTAAGGCTAAATAGGTCTTTCTAAATCAAATCTATTTATGGAACGACTTGATAGTTGAGAATTATGTCTGATCACTACGGTCATCATTTTACTGTGAACTTTTCTTGTATAGTTCACGTTTTTTCGCGATTCACTACTAGCACTTATTTCCACTATTTTCTTGAACTATTAAAACTAACGGTTGGCAAATTCTGATGTTCGGGCTTTCGAAAAACTTCGAAATGCATTACTAGATTTAATGCATTTCGATAATGGCTTAAATGGTATTCCTACTCCCTCGTTAAACAAAATACAATGATTGTGAAATTAAATGTACTAAAATTGCACTGTAGTACAATTGAAGGCAATAGTTCCCATTCAAATATTCTACATGTCGGTTGAGTGGTAAGTTTATGGCTGAAGAAATGCATTTTAGTGAGCTTAAACCCAACTCAGCTATTTCAGATAATTAACTATTGTCATTCTGGCGTTATAACCCTCGGTTGCTTGACTATTTATCCAAATGTTTTGTATTTAGAAGCCAAATTCACGCTGCTTCATACTGTTACCGAGTTTCTAACTAAAAGAATACGGGATTTTTTCAAAAATCGTAAAGAATTTTAAATTTTTAAAGTTTCCTGACCTGTTTGCCTCAGTTCTCAACGTGGACATCACTTTCATAGTATTCAGCTATTCACTGTGGTCGTGCTTTAATGCATTTCTTTTCAATTCAAACCTGTTTATTCTAATGATCAAGAGTATGGGAATGCGGGAGAATACAAGGACATCGATTGCTGAGAAATAGCCCATGAAATCTAAGGTTACTATTGTTTTAAGAAAACTTAATTTTTAAATAAAATTTCGGTGTAAGACTTGTAGGTACCTACTTCAGAGCCTGGATATCTGGATTTTGTGGGACTTGCAACCCCTTTTTACCAGTCTGATGTATACAATTTCGATGCGAATAATTATGCAAATATTGATATAACGTTCCTTTTTCAAAAGTATTTTCGGAATAACTTTTCCCTAAAATTGCTTTTAGGTGCTTGGTCGGAGGAGGAGATATCTATGCTACTGGATTGTTGGCAAGAGGCGGTAGAAGCAACTCGCTCGCCTTCGCGACGTTTCGACGTCGCACAAAAGGTGATGGTGCGACTGCGACGTAAAGGACTCAGAGTGGAAAGGGATGTCATTCGCAAGCAAATGAATACGTTACGTACAGAGTACAAGTAAAACTGTAACTTTGTCTTTCTTTATTCTAAATTGAATCTGAGCAATGAATATTAAATATTCAAAGCACTAAAGTTTTAAACTATCGTATAGATTGCTAGGAAATTCTAGACTTCATTCTGTCTACACTGTGGGCCAAATAAGACCTACAGCCCTCGAGGCTTTGCCGTAATTAACCTAACCTAACGATGTTAAACACAAATAATTTTTAATTTGATATATTTTTTGTAGGTTATAAGAATTCTTGGAAATTTATTATGGAAACATACAGAATAAAACAGCGCGTTGAAATTAGTTTTTTTGTCAACGATCAATTGTTATGACGTAACGTAAATATAGGCAATATTTTAATTCAATTATACTGTTTAGTGGGGTGTTATGGCCAATAGTTATCGGCTCATGTTTCTTCGAGAATGAGGATGGAAAGCCGGAAAGGATTTCCGGAGCTTCTTGCAGAACAATGATTGAAAACTTTTTGCTGCCTAGAATCCCTTTTTTATGGGGATATTTAAAAGACTGTGTATTTTAATAAACCAGAGACTATTGGACAGCTGAAGCAGAATATTCGAAACGAAATATTGAGCCTTCAACCAGAAACATTACGTGGAGTAATGGGAAACGCGTTAAAAAGAACCAATTTCTGAATCGAGAAAAAGGGTAGAGATTAGTCTGTCATATTTCATACATAATTTCCATAATATATAATGTATACAAAATTAATTGATTATTAAGAGTTATCGGTTTTAACATTAGTAAGTCTTATTTGGCCCACCTTGTATTAAAGTGAAAAAGTACTAAAACGTGTAATAAAACCATTCGATTAAAGGAAATTGTGCTGGAAACTCTTAATTCTTCGGGCTAGTAATAAATTCTCACATTGCAAATGAATTTTAAGATCTTTCCTTATAATTATTATGAAGTAGTTGACGTCTTCTGTGCGGAAGTATTATCGATAAACTTAACTTGCCTAATATTATCTGGATCCATGTTAACCTGCCTTCTCATTCAATTAATGAGTATTATTCTTGGTAATAGAAGCCCACTGCCAAGTGGATAAGATCGCTGAACATTGCTAGTTCACGGTTATTCTTGTGCAACGTGAATACGAGCCCGTTTCTCTCAAAGTTCCCTCGAAGGCATCTTCGGTCTTGGATGGATTAGTCTTTTCCACAATTTAACGAATTAAAACCCAAATCCATAGCTTCTATTAATTCGACTCTATCAGAAATTAAGTTTCCAAAAAATGCGACAAATATAGGTACTTTAACAACTTCTGGTTCTCGCCAGTAGTTAATAGCTCAGATCAGAGTGCATTCAACCGTTCAGTTTCCTTCAGGGAATTTCTACCCATAATTTATCGGGCAATAAACTCGATTCGGTTTGGAAGCTGAAAAGCCTAGTCTTTCCATGCAATAAGTATTGGAGTTAATTCGAGTTGTACAGTTAATGTCTATATTTTGGGTGCTTGGATCAAAACCTTAACAGATGTCTGATAAACAAGATTTATTGAATTTGCTTAACGGTGCGCTCACTAAATATACAAATGTTCCACAAGATACGATTTTGCCATTAGTAGCGAAAGTATGAACTTGTTTAGATGTCGATAGGAATTGAGTAATTGAATGAAAATTTTAGAGTATTTCTGTTTAATTTGAAAGATTAATAAAATTACCATTAAAAAAACATCTAAAGCAATTTTGGTCTAGACCTTAACGAATCCGTAATTTAAGCCGACGGTAGAATCGATACGACTGCTGTTAGTGTTAAGTTTGGATTCGAGTTTACGTAAGCTGTATACCGTAGTAGGCTATTACATGACGGAAGCTTTATTAAGGATAAAATTTATCCAAATCCTATTAAATGTATAATTTCTTTCTATAATTCAGAACGGATGAAATTCCTTCCGAAAAAAAAAGATGCATTTAGTTCAATGCTATTAGTTCTGCTAAAATTGAATTGGTTTTCGAAATATTTAAAGCACTTCTTTCGTTATTGTTTCCGTAGAACGTATCAAGGCCTTTTAAAAATTGGAATTCCAACTGTTCGAGCAAGCTGCGTGAATCAGTTGGAAAAGATTCTAGACAGGACAACTGCACAAGCATCCAACAGACGTCGAGATTCTGCAGAAACCAATAACCATATAGATGCTGTATCTGAAGATTCTGACCACTCCCATCGACTGTCTACCTCTTTCGGCGACGAAGGTGGTTTGAGTCAAAATGAAACCCAATCTCAACCTGAAATGAGCTTATCTCAGACGGCTGACGAGGTAAATTTCTTATATCGCTACGTTCAGTCCACAAACGGAAAGCAACCGTTACACTTTACCTTTTAAGATATTTACGTATTATTTGATTTAACATTAATAAGCTGTCTATCCTTTATCTTTGGAATAAACGCCTGGGTTCTTAAGCAGTAAAACATTAAATTTACGCACGCGCTTTTACAATGTTAACTAATCTGGAATTTGGCGACATTGGGATATAAGTTTTTAACAAAACTTTTAAAAACAAATTCGGAAAGCGTCTTAGATTTTTCTAAACGCTAACATATTTTGCTGTACTTTTAAATTTAACTCGTAAGTCTGTTATTTTCAAATATGCTTAATCTACGTGCATTGGAATGTAAAGTCCAAGATGGGTGAAAGTTTACCTAAAATGTGCTAGCGTAAATGGAACAGTGAATGTTTTTTCAGTGAGGCGAGGAACTCGTTTTATATTGAAAATATAATGATCAATAATAAAGGTAAAATGTTTTTATGACTAAAATTATAAAAATATGCATTTAATGCCATGACCTTAAATATTCGATAAGCAACAAGCAAATGTTTCATAATACAGTCTTATAAAAGCATTTCTACATCAAAATCGATCTTAATATATCTAATTCTTAAACAATTTTACGAAGAGGGTCTACCTTATTTCGGATTTTGGTAAGACTTGTGTAATACCAGAAACTTCAGTAGCCGAAGTAGCCTTGTAAGGAATTTTATGATGGAAAAGTGGAATTGATACTAAATATGAACGTATAATTTTGCCATTGGTCAAGTTTATGTACATTTCTTAGTTTTAATTGAAATGTTCATGGCTTTTGGGAAAAGGTTTTGCAACTGCAATTGAGAATGATTAAAACCGAAATCCAAATTCAAGAGTGGATATAATACAGGAACATAACATGCAATGGAGGAAATCTTGAATCATTCTGTTTGGCTAAAATTTGTGGATATTAAACTTTATACTATAATATTCAAGTTCTTTTGAGCAAAATCAGTCTTCACTGGAAAGTTAGAGCAACCAGTTTATCCATGAATTTCTAGATTTGTAATTCGAAAGCTGATTTAATTAATAAATTTCTTGATGCATAATTTTTACGATTTCTAACAGTTAAACGAAAAAAAAAATAATGAAAGCTTTCAGATTTTACATTAAGTCCAGAAGGACTTTTTTAATGTTTTGTGTGTTACCTTTATTAAATATGTTCTTCGCACATAAACCATAAAATTCAACAGCAATATCGCAAGATAATCTTAACAAGAGCATATCTCTTAGAATTTTGGATAGTCTCCTGCACTAGACACAAAAATGTTTTTTTTCTGTACTGTAGCCATTGCTCGCTTTGAAATCGTTAAGTTTCTTAAACTCGCAAATGCTACAAAATATGAAATGGATAATAAAACAAATTCCAAATTTGGGCTTCCAGATGTCAAATCTTCGGTGGAGGATTGAGTGAGTTATTCAAAATTCGATGGCTCCAGGACCGATGTTTTATAATCGTAACGGTTTGAAAAATCCTTATATTTACGTAGACTCTTCATTATGTAATGTCTTTAAATAGAGCACAGGGCGATAATATACCGTGGCAACGATTTGAAATGTTTCGCCATTTATAGTGAAAACACAAATTTCCAAAATGAAGTTAATCGCCTTTCTTGGCTACAAATTCGCAAAAATAGACGAAATTTTAAATTCATAAGCTTGGATACTCTTAAAGAGCAGTATGAAATAAGCTTAAGCATTTTAAAACTTTTGGCATAATTTTTGCTAGTTTAGGTAAGAACAATATTTCGGACTAAATTAGGAAACAAAGGGAAAGTTTCAGGAAATGGCCCGTTTTATCTTTAATCTTAAAGTTAAAATTTGAATTCAATGCGGATTTTCGTGTTAATCATAAAAATTTTTTTTTAATTCAGAGAAGTAGAAAGAATAAGACTATATGAGTGTGGTCTTATCGTATTGTTAAAAATTGGATAAAAGTTTCAAAACTTGCAAAAGTGTGACAAAAATTTAATGTACGCTGCAGGTTGTGTTCGTTGTGCTTCTGCTTCAGTTAGTGCTTTTTAATATAAATTATTTCGGTATTAAATAGCTCGTTTTTGTAGTTGATAGCATTCTTTAGCACTAGTCTTTTGGGAAATGTGCTGTAACTGAAGAAAAATTTAAATAAACCCTATGGAATTTGCTGGAAGGGAATAAAGATCTGCAGATAGGATTGGTAGACGTCAATATCGGTGATAATTTTGAAGTTTAAAGATTAAATTCTAAAAAAGTTCTAAATTGTATATTTTTAAAGCAAGGTTAAATGCATCTGTACTTGTACAAAATAAAATACTGAAATTGCGAAAACTTTTGGTTACTAGATTTCGACGGAAACATCATTTTGACAGTTCCCGACTTCACTTTGACCCCCTTTTTTGCATGATGTCAAAGTACGGACAAAATAAAGGAACCTTTATTCCAAAATGGATTTAACATTTTTCGTGACGTCTGTACGTATGTATATATCTCGCGTAGCTTGAACGATTAGCTGTAGAAATTTTGTTTATGGAACTCCTAGAACATCTGGTTGTGCATCTCCCTTATTGCAGTCGTGTACGTAAGTATGTATATATCAAGCGTAACTCGAACGTTTAGTCGTAGAAGGTTCCAAGTTTGCTTATGGAATTGCCAGAACTCCTGGTTGTGCATCTCCCTTATTGCAATCGACATATATATATATGCACATACACTTATCTCCTTACTCAGCCTTTATTTTCGCAGCCGTTGGCCGCAGACATAGTTAAATTAAGAAGCGTGTTAAATGATGAAACAGTTTTTTAAAATTTGACTTTGTCAAAACAAAATTTCCGACAAATAACCAATTCTAACTTTTAATGCGATCTTTCGGTTTCTATATTTATATTTTGAAAAATTTTATACTCGTTATTAAAATATAAAATTATATGAAGTTTTGAATCCTGTACGAGAAGAATTTGCTGAGATTTAATTTCAAAATTTGCAATTTTTGATGTCATTTTCAACTTGCCTTTGAAGTGCTTAGATTAATTCGGGAAAATGTTTAAATGAAATGCAGCAAAATGTGCGTGGAGATACAAAATCCAAAAAGTGCATGCCCAATTTCATCTGTCCATGCTTTTCATCTAGCATATTTAAGAATACTTCTACTTCAAATGAAATTTTACTTCTACTTTAACTGAGAACAGTATTTCACTGCTCAAGCCATTTGGACCATCCAGATGCAGCTGTACTTAAAACTCCCCCCTACCCTTCTGCAGAATTGGCTACGTTTGCGTATTCCACGTTTAACCGACACTTTGCTAGTGATAAGGTTTTTAAATGCAAATTTCAGTCTACGGATACTGGAAATTTGCTACTAATGGTTTTATAATTAGTAATTAGAACTAATTACTACGTGCTAGTGAAGAATCAACACGCAGTATCGTCATGAAACTAAGAACATTGAATTCTTGTAAATAATTAACTGCTAAATTATTACCTCCCAGGAGTAATTTTTCGGAAGAATCATAATTCATACAGGTTAGGTAGGCAGAGTATATAACCTTTATAAGTTGTATCTGATAATGTCTTAAATGTATCGAATTGGAGTTGCAGAAAGATGGTGAAACTTAAGTGTAAAGACAGACATTTGTAGAATGTTTAGTTAAAACGTAAATATGCCAGAAAAGTAGCCAAGTCTCAAGTTTCTAACGTCTTTTATCGGTGTTTATGTCGTTGACAGATACTTTCAGTTAAGTATACAGATTTAAAAAAACTGCTTTATAAAATCGTTCATAAGTGGACAAATCGTGCTTCGGAAATGTCAAGTGCTTGTTGGAAAGATGATTACGAATGTTCTCGAATCAAATTTTTATAGATGCGTCACAAACTAGAAAAATGAATGTGGGAAAACGCGATAAGATTCTATTTGTCTTGATAAAATTCCTTGATCATTTTAGCATCGCGTTTTTGAATTTTTAGATGAATTTATCGCTTAACAATAGAAACTTCAAGCGCAAAATATTTTATCTTGACTTGACGATTATTTATAATCTAACAAGAATCGTAAAACTTTTATGAAACATGGAATATTTCATAAGATGGCGGAAATGTGTATTTAGAATAAATATAACCGGGTTATCAAGAAAATGGATACCAGAAAATCACTTCTCTTTAAAAGAACAATTGAAGATTATTTTATCAGTAATGTTCAAATGGTGTAACCCATTTTTTCTTTAAAATGAGATTATTATAAGTCTTTCAAATCGCGTCTCCATTAAAACGTCGCTTTTATTGCTATATTTGCATTCTAATTTTACAGATAAGCGGTATCTTTAATACAACATGATCGATTTTTCACATTTGAAAGATAAGTGGATTAAAATCGTCAACTACTCGCTTCTCCTAATCCGTGAATTTTACTTGTATTTTAAACTTTAATAGTACTTTAACTATATACAAAGTAAAATTTTAGCGTTTTTATAACAGTCTAAATTTTTAATCTTAATTTGACTGCTTACTGGCTCAAAATATGAATGGATGTTAAGATTTCTACCTGTGAAACGGACTAAATATTTAGCTTGAAAGCCATTTCATAAAACGCTGTCTCTGACAGTTTATTTCTGGGCTAAATATTTACTCGTTTTATAAATTCGGTTAATTTTGTTTATTAGCATGCTTGGAACTTGATTAAAGCTATTTATGTGGTTCGTAATGCAAACGGTGTCAGTTGAAATAAAATTGTAGTAAAATTGATACAGTAATAAGGATAAAATACTTGCATTTGATTTCTGATTTTACCATTAATGTAGAGAAGACGCGAAGTCGTAAGAACGTGAGTTTATTATGTCCGAATTTAACTTAGCTTTTCGACATAATCTAGAATTTGTCTATCGTCTGCATGCATATAGAAATGCAGAATAAATTCGGAAATAAATGCTGATCAATTAAACGCACAGTAGGTTTTATATTTGGGTCCTATCGTAAGGTTAAGTTTCTGTATTCTTAATGTCCTCATTTGAATGCAAAGTTAATTCCTATCTTACTTCGTATGTTCGTGCAAATTTATTAATAAAGACTAAAAGTGTCGAGGAAATGAAGTCTATATTTCATTTGACTTCCTATACATTTTAGCAATTTCAAGCTTTGGCAATCCCGTGAAATTACTGCCTTTAAACTGGTATAAGGGAACATTATGCTTTGCCTTTAAAACCTGCAAGTTGTACTTCTAATACTGTTGTTCGGTAATTCCAGTGATTTGGAACGCTTCGAATCGGCTGCTGTTACTTTGCGGATCTGTCGCCAGGACTGTGCTTTTATTACAAATATGTTTATACTGCAATTGGGCTTTATGGCCCCGTTGATTTCTCGTTTAGCTGCTTTTACAGATCTCATAATTTCAGTTAAGTCTCGGGTGCAAATGCCGATACGTATGTCTTAAAGAAAATTGAAAGCAAAAATACCTTAAGTATTGGAACTACTGAAAAGCAGCGTCGGGTAAAAACATGGACTATATTCTGAAGGCTTGTTAAAAGGATTTAAGCTTTGGCACTGTATGTATACAGAATATGCTGGATGGGCATAATCTTTACTAGTTCCTAGAGGACTCTTCAAAGCCAATTTCTTATACCCTATTTCCTGCGATGGCGAAAGTTTCGAGATTACATTGCGTACCTCACTCTTTGAGGGGCAGCAAAAGGAAATTAACATTTTTAGCAAAACCCATGTTTTATTATTACATAAGGTTTTACAATTTGTGACAATTACACATTTTGTCCAAGACGCGTGAAAAAAGACCACTTCTGGCGGTTAGTGTCGGTGGCCACCGCCCACAGAACACATCCCTACAATCGGTCTTTATAGTACTCATGAAAACAAGTTTCTTTCTCAAGCAGGAATGCAACTTTGCATGTGTTGCCACACTGTTCTTGCATGCTTTTTCTTGGCGCTGCAGAGTGCACATCGTCGTGATGCCTTCGATGGCTGATGCTTAATTTCTTGAAGACTAATTGCTGCATCAACTACTCGCTTATGTTTCCTGATTGCCATCTAGTGAGCTACAAGGGAAATTCAGAAATTGTCAATCTTGAAAACCACTCGCACAAGTGAGTAAGACGTTCAATAGAAAAAATGGTGACTGCCCTTCAAAGAGTTAAGAGGTAGAGCATTTTAAAATTAAGTGTGGTGGCACAATCCGTGACAGCAAGCAGTATAACCGAGCATTTATTCACATTCTTGATCATAGGTTTTAAATGATTTTCTTAAGTGTAACTTAAAACTGAAATATCGGTTTAGTGAAGAAATTGTGAAATCTCTAATCAACAAAGCAAATGCATTAAAAACTACTCTAATGTTGACATTTTCAATCACCTGATAAGATTTTAAAAAGTAAAAATAACTTTTCCTTCTAGACAAAAAGAAATCAATAGTTCTAAGACTAGAACATAAATTCCACATTTCGAAATAGTTTCTATTTACACTGGTATGAATCTCGGGTTATGATGTTCCAGTTAAGGAATATTCATGATATATGTTAAAAAATAACTTAATGTCTTTTTTTTCAAGGTTGTGAATCAATCGAGACGAGTGCGCTTCCAGAGGCGTGTCAATATCGCCAGGTCAGTCAGAACGGTTCTGTATCAACAGCAGACGTTGATCGACCAAGTGCAAAAACTTTCCAAACGCGTGGAAGAGATTAATGACACGCTGCATAAAATAGTAGAGAAGCAAGATGAGAAGAACGAAGGAAGCAATTGAAGATTCAGCGACTACTTGATTCCATAAGGGAAAACCTCGTTTGTTTTGTCAGTAATGTTTATGAATATCAATGTGGTCCAAAGGTTTTGCTGTAATAGTTTGAGAACAGCTGTAAGAACAGTGAAACGTTGAATAAAAGTTGGAAGTTTTTCAATATGTGTTTTCATTCTACTCTAAATGTGTTTTTGGATTAAATTCGCAAGTAACAATCTATAGCCTATTGCATATTGAAGCAGGCGAACAGCTAAATTTTACTTTTCAGCTTTGAGATAGTTGGTAATATACACCACATATATTCAGTATCAGAAAATTGTTTTCAGTTCAACCATTAGCAGTTGAGGGATTTTTTGAGTGAACTGAATAAATTGTTTCTATTGATGGTCTGAAATTTTGTGCAAAATCTTAGAATCATGTTTTTTAGATCTTGCTAGAAGGCTTCATTTTCTTAACTATTTATCACCTGCATTTCTAAGTAAAATTTCTAAAAGTCTATTTTGAGAGTAATTTTAATAATGGCAGAAAAAGTAGTTTTCAAAAGTTAGCTTTTTTGCTGTAATGAACTGAAGAAACTTAACTTTAGGATTATTGAACTAGCTTAATCTCATGCTGAAAAATTCTTTTAAAATTCCAATAGCGAAGGAAATTTGAATCATTCAAAACTTCCTGTATATTTAAAAAATGCTTTAAATTTTGGTCAGTTTTCTTGGCAGCATTATATGAAACACTGAAAATAGCCAAAGAAAATTAAGAGCTGTTAGAAAGAATGTTAACGTAACAAATGGAAATTTAAACTTGTAAACTGTTTGGTTTTGTTTTGGCAAAGCATACTAGAGCTATCTATAGGAAAGAACTTTCGTGAAGTTTTTACTAGAAATTTGACTCTTATCCACATTACAAATGGAAGAAAACCATAAACAGCCAGTTTGCAAGAAACTGAACCCAGCTCGAAATATCAGTGTTCAGAGACTTTATCAGCCGGTGTCTTATGGGAGTGGTTTAAAACAAACTTTAAGAAAATGGCCCTTTTTCGCTTGCTCGAATCGTTTTCACCTGCAGAGTTTAACTGTTACCTCAACAACCGGTGCTGGCGCTAGGCTGTTCAGTGCCCATTTTAACAAAATGAGTTTGATATCAACTCTCTCCATTTTTTCAGTGATGGAGAATTTAAAGGAAATAAAAAGGAGCTTATCTTAAAATACTTTAATAAATTAAAATTTATGAAAAAACTAACTAGTGAAAATTTTATACCTGTATATTTTTCTAAATTTAAGATTGAATGAAACAAATTATGTCTTAATTCAGATCATTTTCAGATTTACAACATTCATGCATACATTTTTAGAGTGCGGGATTTACAAATCTTTAATGTGACATGCTCTTGTGTAAATACGAATTTGTAATTTTACAGCAGGTAAAATTACTGCTTGGGTACTAAGTAATTAAAGGATCCTCTGGCTTCTTTCCTCAACATTCTTTTGTTTCTTAAAATTACCGCTTTCGAGGAGTTTTACAATATTCCCAATAAAAACATTCTTTTATTTTGGTGGTTGATAAGGCTGGAAATTTGTCTCGGTTGTATTTAAAACATTGGCTTTCTTTTGATAAGGCTTTAATAACTTGATACGAGAGTGGAAGGAGTTCTTTATAAGGATAGAAGAGCTATTCGGAACGCAATTTTGGTGCCAGACATTAATAAAACCCTTTTTGACCAATATTTCTTTATCCAATGATTTTCTGTCTGTTAACCCATTTATACAAAAATCGAGAAAATTATGTACGATCCTTGCTTTTCTAGGAGCATTGATATTTTGAGATCTCTGCATATGATTTTCGTATTTAATTTTATCCAGAATGAATTAAAAATATAAATTAAATAGACAGAATGCCGATGGGTATTGCCCGATGCAAAGAAAAACAACTTTAAGGCTTAACTTTGGGTTAATCCCCCATAAAAAGTCTCCAGTTGGTACTTTTCGTACGGAATGCTAAATTGATTCAAAGGTCCATATACATCAGTGCAGAAGACCGTTTCCTTCTCAGACTTAAATTCAGTCTTCACTGTTTAGTTGTGAAATCGGAATGCAAAGATAAGATTTCAATGTTTTTCAACACCTTGAAAGTTATTGTTTTTCATCGATAAAATCGAATCTGGAGTAAATATTGTTTCTAATCCACGAATAATCTTTCATTTGTTTGTATTGTAAAAGTTACTTTATCTGCTACAATTGCTTTATCATGATTTATCTGGTACTTGGTAGCGCAACCACCGTAGCAGAAGACGCCAAATTTTCAACGACGCTAAACTCTGGCAAGCAAACGCATATGAGTTTCTTGACTATTAACAAGGATTTTTCGCAATTTTTGTTTGCATTCTTTTTATGTGTTCAGAGATGAGAATTTTAAGACAGAGCAGCAGTTCTATTTAAATTCAATTTTAAAATATGCGCTAATAGGGTTTGTAATGGAAGAAAGTGAGGTAAATTTTCTGCATGAATAACGCGTTTTTTACACAATCACAAGTTTAGAACTGCTTTAAATTTGCTAAAAGGTAGAATTTCTGAACGCGATCTCTACAAAAATTTCCCATTGAAGAAACAAGAACCCGATTGCCAGAAGGTTACTGGTTCTCTTCTGTTAACGTCACACAGCGCCAAACATAAGCAACCTGAAATTTAACTGGAGGACAAATATTTTCGATATGCACGAAAGACTATTAAATCTAGAATAAGTGTAAAAAATGTACATAAAATAAAATTAACCATATTCATTTCAGGTTACACAGGACGCATAAAATTGCCAGTTGCGTTTAACATCGTCAAAAGCATTTGCATCTTCTCATGCTATTGATGTCCATGAAGTAAAAAATCTGTTGAGGCTTTCTGACGTTTTTCGCCATTTTGCACGTGACATTTCACATGGGAATCAATAAAGCTGTATTTGTGGTTAACTTAACAGATGGTTGATATCAGCACTTGTAATTTATTAGCTTAAATTGTGGTGATGTTGTCTACTAATTACAACAGCGAAAATTTAATATTGCCGCATAAACCAAGAAATCTTCATTGCTAAGATTAGTCTCATATTTATGTTTGCCTGACGTGTATGGGCAATAACATCCAAATCACATGGGAAAAGACTTCAGACTTTTTAAAACAAACAAAGGTCTTTCATATAATCTTTAACACCTCATGATGTATGATACATTGATGATGACCTCAAACTTGAAATGCAGGATGTTTTCATCCTAAGGATCGCACGTAGCTTTTTTTCTCAGTGGACAAATCCGAACATAAGAGCAACCTAAGTAATTATGATTCTGGCGAAAATTACAAATGCAAATGACCAAGGATAATTTTTCGCAATAAGACATTGTTAACAAGCCACTTTCTTGTTTTGGCGACAGGGTCCTTCCCCCCAAATGGCGAGCGCTTTATTTAAGAGCCATTAGCCTTGCCCCACTACAAGGACAAGAAATGGTGGCCACTTCATTAGAAAAGCACCTAAGGTGACCCTTTCCTATGAAGGGACGAACGGTTACAACCATGTCTTCTTTGGGATTTGAGTGCCCATCAACGGCCGAGCAATAAAGTCGCTGAACACTGGTAGTTCGGTCCGAGGTTCGAATCTCGCGAACGGGCGGACTTCGTAGGCGTGGTTTTCCCCATGTATAAGATGTTTACTAGCCAGTTTCCTTCACGAAAACATCCGTCTCCTTAGGTAGATAGCGTTCGAGGCTTTGCCGTAATCATATACTTCCCTCCCTCCCCTTAAAAAAGATTTTCGGGTTTCAAACCCGGGCCCTATGCTATGGCAGTAAAAGTCAATAACCACTATACCGGTTAATAGGCTCAAAACAAGGCAGATATTAAAGCAGCGTCTTGGGCTTTAATGAATGTTAACCACTTGCGCTACGACTAAACTTCATGGTTGCGGTGTCGTGCGTTACAATATAACAAGCGGTCAAGTGTCTCATTTACGCTGTTCCGCGTCTGCGAGTGCAATCCAGAGCTGCAACTCGAGAAATAAACAGTCTCGTTGTTAGGCGACGTGTGCACCACGCTATTTTCATTTTTGCGATAAATGCCCATCGACGTGTTCATGTCGCTCGCGGTTTGAGACAAAAGCATCTCGACGTGCGTGGCACGTCTTTTTAGCGCAAGTGGTTAAACAACATTATCTCCCAAGAAAATTAATTATAATGAGCAAACAAAGCCACAACGTTACCACAGGTGCTTGAGCATTCAGTTTGATCAATGACCGCGAAAGCAACTGAAAATCAAAGTGGGAAAATGATTAGATTTTTATTCACTTTAGAAGGCGATAGAAACAGCGCTTTGGCGGGTTTTTGAGACTGGCACCCCGTTAATAGAAAAAAAAGGTATATTGGTTAATTTTTTCGGAATAACTACCTAATTAAAGACATAAAATATCTGATAAACATAATAAATGATTTTTTTGGCAAGTGTAAGTCGTATTTCCTTTTCTTTAAAAACTTTCTGAACTACGCGAAGGTAGGTTAAGCTAATGCTTAAATATTGAATTATTTTCAAATAAAGTAGGTTTCTAACACCAAATAATTAGGTCTGGTGCAAAACATTTGCACGATCATTTTATGTGTAAATATTTGATCAAAACGTAAACATCAGCTCTTCGTATTTTGTCAAATGGTTAATAGTTCGATATCGTATACTACTGTATTTTACGTTCAAAAGCGATATTCAAACACATAGATAAAACATTCTTTTCTTAATTGAGTTTTAATGGTATGCGACAATAAAGATTCATTTTCCATGACCTGGTAATAGCAGATATTACTGTTTATGTAAGAGGAGAAATATGTAACGTTTTTATTTTATTTTTAAAAAGATTTAATGATAAACTCTCCTTCCGGGTATCTAGTGGTATCTAAAGCTTCAAATAGCAGCTATTATTATTATCTTGATGACGGTGCATTTTGAAAAGAAGCTAAATAAAATACCAATACAAGTTTATTTATTTTCGCATTGATATTATCTTACTTTCCCAAATGACGGCTTGTCGAGTTCTTAGGTTCAGTAGATTATCGCTGTTATTTCGCAATGTCATTCATGTTTCATCTCAATTTCTTTTCAGCATCTGTATTTATGGTTGTGATTGAAAGATTTTATCTTTTGC